GCGGGGTTTCAGGCGGCCTCGCCGGGTGAGGGAAGGCTTTTGTGGGCTCCCAGGGTCCACCCTGAGCGAGCCCTGGGGCCAAGGCCGAGCTCCCACAGGCCACTGACTGGCAAAGGGCTGCCAGGCTTTCTTATCTCCTGCCTGTTCATTGTTTGGTGTCCTTGGGAGCACAGGAGAGGGACTGCTAGAGCCCTTTGTGAATAAAGGGAGGTGGAACAAAGAGCCGGGCAGGGTGGGCTGGCATGGCCTCTGCTGCAGACACGTCCTCCCGGGCCCTGCCAGAGGCTCAGGGGAGCGTGGGAGGCTGCGAAACAGCAGGCAGGGAGCTGAGGGTGAGGCGCAGGGCTGAGCATCTGGGAGAGAGACCGTGAGAAGAGTTTCCTCAGTGGCCTGTGCCTACCTCTGGCTGTAAGGCACAAGTCATCATCATTCTGAAGGCCACAGTGCCTCGGCTGCATGCTCCTGTGCAGCAAAAGCCCTCGTTTGGAGAGCTTGCTGAAAAATGGGCTGGAGGAGTGAGCATCAATTCCACTGGGAAAACTTGTTTTCTCTGGCTGATGCTTCCCCTTGGTAGCCCATGCCAGTGTGCCATCCCTGGCGAGCACAGCCAGGCCCCGTGCTGTGCTGGGGACCGCAGATCCACAAGCTCAGAATGCGCCAGCTGCAAACGCCCGGCCTGTGCACGCACCCCCGCACCTCCCCGTCAGCTCCCGCAAACACTGCGCTTCACCCCACCGGCACACCGGCAGAGCAGCGACTAGCCAGAATTGTCCCTCTTAAGTCTGCACCTTAAATACAGTGGAAAAACTACCACAGCAGAACACAAACTGAACCAGCTGAAGTAAGATTTACAGGGGAAACGTTACTAAACTGAGCTGATACGGAAAGATTGACTCAGGAGCACAAAAGAGACAAAGGCAGCAAGCGCAGCCCGCCCAATCAAACAGACACCCCACCATGCAAAAATAGCCCTATCTAATCTGCTTTAGAGCTGCATACAGCCGGAGCAGCCTAGCAGAAGAGGAGCCTGACTCCCCAAACCCACTGCCTTCATCTGCTGCTCTCTGAGCCTTTGGGAGCCATCCCCGTGTCTCAGGTGTCTAGGGGGGCTCCCTCCTGGGCAGCGTGTTTCATCCACCACAAGAGCCCTGACAACCGTGAAAATAAATCACTGAGAGGACAAATGCTGGGAAAGCTCCTTGGAAGAGCAGTAGGAGACAGAGGACTGTGCTTTGACTGCTTCCTCCTGATTTTGGGCATGGGAGATGCCCAGACATCAGGAGGGCAGATCCGTACTTCTGAGAGCTGAGCAACAGCAGAGAAAGGTGTAAAGTAACTGCCCAAGCTGGACCGCGGTCCTGTCATGCAACTGGACATGAGCCTCCTCCTTGTTCCCACTGCAGCCACCCAAACACCCATAAATATGCCACACCGCAGAGCCAGACGATGTGCAGCCCGCTCCAGGCCTCTGCCTGCCTGGCTGCTTTCCTGCCTTTGTGCTGCGCTTCCTGAGTCGCCCCAGCACCAGCCCAGCCTGGAGCGCAGCCCTGCAGGACAAGGCCACATTCATCCAAGACTCCCGCTGGCCTCGGTCAGCAGACTGCGTTCGCATAACGAGCGGGACTGCTGTCGCAAACAAAGCCTCTGGAAACACTGGGGTTTGCTAATCCGCAGGCCGGCCAGAGCCGTACATCAAATGCTGTCAGCAGTGCGGGGAGCACCCTGCCCAAAGCAGGCATTGTGCCCGGTTTTGCTTGGCTTGGGAATTCTGCAGCACTGGAGTGACACAGAAACTTCCCCAGTACGCGTTGTGATTATCCTTCAGGTGGTCTTCTCTTTCTTTTTGCGGGTGGATGGTTTTCTTTTTCAGGGGCTCTTTGACTCGTGTGCTTGAGCAGTCACCCTGCAATGGCTGCGGGTTATTAGGGACGAGGACGTGTTTACCAAGCAGTGGACAAGCGAGGCGTGGATCCGCCCGTGCTTTTCACACACAAAGCTGCACTGAATCAGCAGTCTTTATAGCAAGTGTGATACATGGGAGCTGGACACAGAGCCGAGCAGCGAATTCACAGAGAGGGCTGCTGTCTGCTGGCAGATGCTTCACGAGCAGGCAGAGAGGCTGGATCCATTGATCTGTCTGCGCACCCTGCCTTATTTATTTGTCTTTAGTTACAGGACTAGAGCTGTACTCCTCCCTCCTGTCTGTGAGCCAGTCCGTGCCTCCTCTCCGCTCCACGCAGCCATTTCAGGGCGACGAGCGGAGAAATGTTCATTAACCCTCCCTGCAAGTGACACCAGGCACTTGCAATAAATTGTAGAGATAACTCAGTGAGATGACGCTCCAGCAGCACGGCCATCTCAAAGGTGTCTCCAGAAAAGATGCAAGCACAATGTTTGCTTGAAAGGAATCTTTTAGGAATAAATAAGTAACTCCACGCAGCCATTTCAGGGCGACGAGCGGAGAAATGTTCATTAACCCTCCCTGCAAGTGACACCAGGCACTTGCAATAAATTGTAGAGATAACTCAGTGAGATGACGCTCCAGCAGCACGGCCATCTCAAAGGTGTCTCCAGAAAAGATGCAAGCACAATGTTTGCTTGAAAGGAATCTTTTAGGAATAAATAAGTAAAGAAAGAAAAGGTGGTGCGGGGGAAGAGGCGCGACGCGCAGCACAGCGCGGCCGCGGAACGGCGGGCGGCTCCGCCGA